CGCTTTTGTGTTCAGCCACTCTTTGTCGAATGGGACAAGTCTCTCCAACATAAAAGCGACCACATGAACAAATTATGTTGTAGCAACCCGATCTAGATAATGGGTCAACTTTCTCTCTAAAAAAGGGCATGATTGAAGAAAGTGTCATAGTTTCTCTGAACACAGTTTTTATTCCACGTCCACTGTCCAACTCTGGAAATTACCATGCATACAATGGACTTCAGACTAGGTGTGCTTCTCTAAGTATTCCTACCAATAAGAGCAAGTTGTGAAAACGAGATCAACCATTTTCAATATTTATGACTGGAATTTTAAGAAATCCAGCCGCACGAGGACTCAGCAACGCAAAATCGAATGTATGAGACTTCGTAGACCAGAAAATAACAGATTATGAAGCCATGATGACATTAGGACAGATTTCCCTGTTCATTTCTGCTATCACCTTGGCTTTGTGTGCTCGCGCATGCACACACAAACACGCCGATTCACATAACTATAGATAGATATAGTAAGGAAATAATCTAGCTTTGCAATAGCTAACATTAGTTCAACTGTTATATATATATATATAAAGATAAGATTAACAGGTTAATTTCTTTAACTTTTAGGCTCATGATTACTAATATGATAAATCGCTGCTATTATGTATCTCATGTTACAAATGTGAATTTGGCACACTTTTACCCTAACCGAGAAAGAAAGACCAAGCGCAGCTAGGTGACTTGTTCTGATGGGCTCGACCTGCGATTCTATTCATCAGAGAGATTTACTTTAAATTGAAGTCATAGGAACAAATGCAGTTGAAAATAAGACACAAATAAACTTGTTTTTTTAAGGATTTTTGCATCGAATCGAATATAGATGAAAATTCTTACTGTTATGAGCGAAAGCAAAATGGTGTCGTATGGAAGAGTGATAGGAGTCCATAGCCTGTTAGTAGCAGAGTTAGCGACAGAGACGGCCTGGATGCAGGTCTCTAGTTGGTAAGGGGAGGAGGCGGCCATATGAAGAAGGTAAACTAGAGCGTGCATCGAAAATTGTCGACATACATTCGAGGACTGGTCAGAAGGAACGCCAGAGACGGGCAGGCTGGGCAACGTAGGGATACCACCACCGGAACTCAAATCGGTTTGATCTACAACATTGACAGAGCCTGAATGATCAGAGCGTTCCCGCGTCTGACTAGGGGCCGGAGGATTATTTTGCTGTGGATTGTCACTTTTAAAGCAAAGACCGAGTCTCAAAAAGAAGAAAGCATGTATAAAACATGACACTCGGATTAAATTTTATATTTAATTAGCGTAACAAATAGAAATTTCGCCCATAAAATAGTAGTCATACACGTATGGCCCTACGTATCCAGCATATAGTGGAAAATGACGTTTAAGAAAACTTTGTATCGATTGAGGAACTTCAATAAATGTGCTTTGTACCGCCTCATCTATACTAGTAGCCAGATGCAATCCCAAACATTCCTGGTCAGCTACGTCATTCTAGAATGCCACATGAATAAAATAGCTGGTAATTAAATCAACATTATTGTCAAGCTATAACAATGCAAGCAAGCCTGATTTAGGATTCCAACAATTCCTCCACTTGAAATAGAGTAATTTAAGGATAATTGATATGATGAGAACCATCATTTATCTTGAAGACTTTGAATTTTGTAGATTTTTTAGATATAAATGGAGGTAAAAGCTTGGAGATAAAAAGCCCCCACAAGTGATGTGAGCGAAGAAGGGTATATTTCGACTTGATTGATTCTAGAGCTGTATGATAAAATATTTTTAGACAATTACCCACCATGTCACGACGATGTAAGCTGATAATGATTCTAACTGGAGGGTTGAATCTCTACTAGATGGGAACACGAAATGTGGATGAAAGAACAGGAGAAAACATAACTTATCCTTAAGTGAGCATGGATAATTCTGCCCAGATTTGCCTAACCTGAGACATCAAGTGAATACCGTATTGTCGAGTAAAAAATTTCATATAGTGTGATCTCACTTTATAATAAATTTTCATTTTGAGTTTTGAAAAGGATCTTTATGGCTGAGAAAAGCTTCGAACTCACATGAAGAATGTTTCATGATAAAGTACTTTAAACAGAA